GACACCTGTGGGCGATTCTATCTAATTCTTCCTCACTTTGGGCGAACTAGGTGAGACATTATCAGTTACAGTACAATTCAATCTGGTCCATTCCAAATACAATAAATTGTTCCTGGGCTTGGTATGGTTGAAGGTGTTGAAAGTTAGAAGCAAAGTAGAGAGGTACTTGCAGGCGAGGGACAATGAAGTGTTCTGGAATGGGGACTTGATGGACAAAGGTTTGGGAGGTAATAAGAATAAAAAATGGCAAAGGTAGATCAGTTTAAACTGATCTGGAAGACTCTCTACACACCTAGAGATAAAGTGCTTGTCTGGTTGGTTATTCATAATAGAATCACGACATTAGACAAGCTCCATCAGTGGAACTCATCAATTTATGATTTTACTATTTATTAAGAGGGTCTTTTGTAATTCTAACAAACTTAAAGGTCATTATTTATACTCATTCTCTCCATATATCATTAGTCATAGAGAGAGACATAATGACAACATTTGATTGATCTCATTTTCTTTTATTTTTTAAACTCATCCTCATGGCATTTCATGATTTCATCCATCTCCTTGTTGATAGGGTTTACTATTCATGAAAAATGTATTTTTGTAATTTTAACAAACTTTAATGTCATTATTTATTGGGACTTTTTCCAGAAATACCACTGTTTAAAAAAAAATTCCAAAAATACCACCCAACCTCAAAAAATTCCAAATATACCACCTTTTTCAAAAACCGCCATCCCACCCTGCGGTTTACACGAAAACCGCTTGTCGGGGTGCGGTTTTCTATGCAAACCGCGGGCCTTGGGGGCGGTTATAAAAAAAAAAAATTGGACCAAACCGCTGGGTGGGGTGGCGGTTTGGCCCAAAACCGCCACCCCACTCAGCGGTTTGGTCCAATTTTTTTTTTCTATCAATTCCTAACTTCGGCCGAAACTTCAAACGAACGTAACTTTGCACTCGGGTATCCAATTGTAGCGATTTGTTTTCATTTCGCATAACTTTTCAATATCTACAAGACTACAACTTTTACTAGTATAAAATTTTCAAAACAGGAACTATTTGTGGATATACGGGACCTTGAGAATAACTTTACCTTTACTTTCACAAATACATGTACATTTTGAAATTATGATTATATTAAAAGTTGTAGATTTTGAAAAGTTATGCGGAATAAAAATAAAATTCATAACATTCGGATTTTGGAGCACAAAGTTATGGCCGCCCAAAGTTTGACGAAAGGCGAGACCCGGCGGTATGCGGCTTGCAAGATCTCAAAAAGTTTGCGGCCTCCATTTTTTGAATCCGAATAACTTTTTGAGATCTTGCAAGCCGCAAACCGCCAGGTCCCGCCTTCGTCTCGAAAAAACGTCATTTGCCACCCCGAACGAGCCTTTTTTTTATTGTCAAACTTTGGGCGGCCATAACTTTGTGCTCCAAAATCCGAATGTCATGAATTGTTTTTTGATTCCACATAACTTTTCAAGATCTACAACTTTTAATATAGTCATAATTTCAAAATGTACATGGATTTGTGAAAAGTAAAGGTAAAGTTATTCCCAAGGTCCCGTATATCCACAAATAGTTCCGGTTTTGAAAATTTCATCCTAGTAAAAGTTGTAGATCTTGAAAAGTTATGCGAAATGAAAAAACAAAATCGCTGCGATCGGATACCCGAGTGCAAAGTTACGTTCGTTTGAAGTTTCGGCCGAAGTTGGGAGTTGATCGGGAAATTTTTTTTTTTGACCAAACCGCCACCCCACCCAGCGGTTTGGTCCAAATTTTTTTTTTTTATAACCGTGCCCCCGACAAACGGTTTTCGTGTAAACCGCAGGGTGGGGTGGCGGTTTTTGAAAAAGGGTGGTATTTTTGGAATTTTTGGGGTTGGGTGGTATTTTTGAATTTTTTTTTTAAACAGTGGTAGTTTTGAATTTTTTCCTATTTATTGAAGGGCATATGTCAATATTTGTTTATTTCATTTTCATTTGCTTATAATTTTTAGGGTTAATATAATTTATTAGCCAACCTTTCGTCTTAAACAAAATAATAACCAAACCTTTTCAAAAACAATTTATTAGCTAAACCATTAAGTTTCCATCCGGTCAACTGTTAGTTGATTCTGATGTGGCAAATGAATTGCCGAGTCACCAAAATTTGGTGACGTGACCATAAAATTAAAATTAATTAATTACAATTTTTTTATTAACCCTTATCACTTATGTTCTCCTCTATCGATCTCCGACCAGAATGAAAGCAATCTCTAATTTTCCGGCGGTCTCTCCAAAATTCCTCCCCTGTCCAACATTCATAACACCTTCCAAGAAAATTAAAAATCTTCAAATGGAAAACATTAGAATTATTAAACCATAAGTACTAAAAAATTACCAAGCGAAGTTACTGTTCCTTAAGAAAAAATCGGATATATTGTTCACCGTGGGATTTTATGATCACCTGTAGACGTTTGTATGTAAACCCACGTTCAATACATTGGGCTAAACAAATATAGCCGTTGATTGCAATAAAAAAGCTACACCTCATCCGTATAACCTCTTTTCTACATTTAGTTTCTTTCCCATCCAGACACCGAGACACATCAAACTACTTCCCTCTCTCCTCCCTCCCTCTTCCCTATATTCCAAGCAAACCCCCCAACCAATCACTATCATCATTCTCACTTCTACGTGGGCACCGGGCCGTGCCGCCCACGGGCTAGCACGGCACAGTTAGAACACGACACGAGCACGAAATAAATAGGCCAACCCGACACGAGCACGAATAATTTATGGGCCGTACCGGGCCTAAACTTCATGAGCACGGGCACGAGCACGGGACAGTATATAAGTGGGCCGTGTCGGGCCTAATATTTTCGACACTTTATTGAGTATAAGAACGGACATGGCACGAAAATAATATTTATTTGATAGAAAATAAGTATAAAAATAATTATAGGTTCAAATATTACAAAACACAAGTAGAAAAATAATTATTTGTTGTTGTTAGAAGTGTCATAAAGATATATTTGTAATTACTAATATAAGTAAAAATGGACAAAGAATTAAACAAAGCCAAATCACACTCGCTATACTTTCAATTTTCTTTTCCCCCATTTTTGTTACTTTTCTCAAACATTATTGGTTAATACTATCTTCCCCGGTCCAATTTTCACCTTCTTATTCATTCTCTCTTTTGTTTTCGTCCCTTTCATTAAACACGAATACGAACATGGCACGAGCATGAATAGGCACGATACGATTCGAACCGTGTCCGGGTCTAGCAAAATTAACAAATGGGCTTGCATGGCACGACACGAAAATTGACAGGCCGTGCCAAACACGACACGAAATAAATGGGCCCGAAGCGTGCTCGTGTTGTGCGACCCAAACACGGCCCGCGCCCATGTACATTCTCACTGCATCAGCCACCTCCATCTCCAATCTCTCTCTCTCTCTCTCACACACAGCATCAGGCCGCCTCCATCTCATCTCATCTCTCTCTCCCTCTCTCTCTCTCTCTAATCATGTTCACCAAATTATATATAGTCATATAACTAATTCCCACATCACACTTAGTTGGGATACAGAGACGGAGAGTCACGCTTTCTTTTCTTTCCTCCCTTTGCCAAACAGGTCCCTCTCCTTTTTCTTAACATTGGCTCCATTCACTAATTTCACTATCGGTATCTAGCTAATGCAATAGAGGATTTTTGGGATGATTGAAAGAGAGACAAACAATTGGGTGGCAGGAAAAGTACAAGGAAAGACAAGCAGCTGAGTGTGGAGCTAGATGTTAAGAGGGTGGATCCCGGGACCTATTCTGGATGGGAAGAAAAATTGATAAATTAGTTATAGTAAATAATTGAGAATAAATTTAAGAGATTCATGAGATTAGTAGTTTGAAATGATAATAGTGAAATAGCTCATGAATCATTGTCAACTAAAATTTGTATGAAGTTGTTCAGATATATGATTGCAACAACATGATCGACATACACGATTTAGATTTTTCATGACTAAACATTTTATATGTAACGATATTTTATGAATAATGCTCAGATATGGGCCTTCTTGGTTATCGTGTTTGAAAGTATTTAAACTAATTTCAATTCGTCAAATATGAAATTAAATTTCAGATTTGTAATTATCCAAACAACATAAGTAATTGAACAAACTGGATTATGATTTCGTATTACAATTTTTCATGGCTAAAGGTCAAATTTTCAAATTCCAACAACTCCTAATGGTGACGTATGATTTAAGTACATTCTAAGACAATTTCATGCAACTTCTAACTCACCAAATATATAATGATTTTTTATTATTGTATCTTGCCTTTTGCCATCGTACTTCCTTTTTATAAAGGGTGAACGGTTTCATTCAAACACATAAGATAACTTTAAGGGGTCGTTTGGATGGATCAATTGTAAAACGAGACAATTTGATCAATCGTTTCATTTTACAAAACGAGTCATTTAAAACGAGTCAATTCAGATTACCTGCCCCCACCCCTAGTCAATTGTAATTGGCTCAAAATGAGTCAATTCAGAATTCCCCAGCCTAAATTGCTTCATCCAAATTTTCTGCTGCCAAACGGATCAATCTAGCACAATTGGCTCAAAACGAGACAATTATATCAGATTGATCCATTAGAATTCTTCATCTAAACAACCCCTAAAAAATGATTCAACATCGAGGCCAAACAAGAAAATGACACTCAAATCACAAGGCTTGCTCTAATTTCAAATTACTTTTTTTAGGTTTACTCATATTCAGAGTAGAGCGTTTTAGGTAAATGAATGAATTTAGCATGTGATTATTACAAATGTGAGAAAAGTTTGTTTGGCCTTTTAAAATTAATTAGAGACTACATTAGTACAAACTCATGTTTCGATTACATGGTTTGATGAAAACTAATGAAATATAGTTAAAAAAGTTATCCCGCGGCTAAGCGCGGGCCAATTAACTAGTAGAATAGAAAAATGGACCCAGAGACAAGAAGGAAGAGCAGATTCAATCTTCAAGACGTTCCACAACCACCAGCCTCATTCCTTGCGGAACTACCACCACCACTGGCCTCCTGCCCGGAAAATTCCTCACAAATATTAACGGCGACTCTGGGATTGAACTTGAAAGCACGATTGGGGTGCTGGCATTGATAGGTATGGCGATTTGGTGCGGCGGAGGTGGAAAGAGAGGTCGAAGAAGGTTGGGGAAAAGCCCCAATTTCAGAGTTTCCTTGTCGTGCGAATCGTAGATCTGGCGGTTCTGATGGTCACTCATGACGTCGTACGGTAGTAGGCATAAAAAATATGCTTGAACTTGGCCTCCCTCTCGGATCTCTTGGTGGTGGGGTTTGTTAGAAGCTTAAGGACCATTTTGTAATTAGTTGCATTTATGTGGAGTTAGTATGATAATTGTCCTTAACCTAGTTTAGGCAGCTCGTATATATTGATGTTAAGGGCTGCCGAGTCTTGTACAGAATTCTAGAGAATAATAGTTTCTGCCTGGTGCCGTGGACTAGTCCTAACAATCAACTTAGGGAAACCACGTAAATCTCGTCTTGTGTTCTTAGATTTCAGTTCTTAATCGTGTTTGACATGGTATCAGAGCCTACCCAAATCTTGTGACTTGGCTTTTGGGTTTTCGTGTGCCGTCGTCTGTCGTTATTGGAGCTGCGCAGCTTGGTTCAGGTTCTTTTGCTTCCGTCTCTGTTGTCTTGGCTATTTCTGGATTTTTGAGGGTTGTCTTTTGGTGGGACTCTCCAGTTTGTCTTGTGCTTTGAGTTTATTTGGATCCCTGCTATCTCGCTACTTTGCTTGTCTTGTGCTACTCAAATATCATGGATTCTACGAAGGTCGACGCAATCTCAGTCCGCTTGAATGGGAAGAATTTCCCGTTGTGGGTATTTCAGTTCAGGATGTTTGTGCAAGGCAAGGGTTTGTTGCCTATACTTGATGGTTCTGCTAAGGCTCCCGCTGCTGGTGCGGATCCTAAGGACATCGGGGCATGGGAGATGAGTAATGCCCAGGTTATCAGTATGCTTTTGTCTTCGGTTGAGCCCTCGATTGGCTTGGGTTTACGGGGATTCTCGACTGCCAATGCCATGTGGCAGCACCTTGTTAGCCTTCACACCCACGTGAGCGCCTCCCGCAAGTTCGATATTGAACTTGATCTTGCTCGGTTGCAACAAGGTGATCTTGACATCAAGTCCTATTACCAGGCTGCTCTCCAACTCTGGACCGAGCACGATTTGATTACCCAATCTCTTGTATCTGCTACTGCATCAGCTGAGGTCCTGAAGGAGCGTGCTAGCTCGCGTCTCATGACCTTTCTCATGAAGCTCAACCTGAGCTTTGAATCTATCCGGGCTTCCTTACTGCATCGCAATGTCAACACTATTGAAGAGGTATTACCAGAGTTGCTTCGTGAGGAAACTAGACTTCGGAGTCAAGCTAAGTTAGATGTTCACTCCCCTGATATTGGTTCGGCCTTCTCTGCTCAGACTAGTAAGCCCCGGTTCTATCGTACTCCTTCTGGTGAAATCATATGTCATTATTGCAAGGAACCGGGTCACATTCTTATTAATTGCAAGAAGCGCAATGGGTGTAACTATTGCAAGTCTGATGGCCATAAGATTGCTGATTGCCCTATTCTAGCTCACCGGAACAACCATCGTCGTCCTGGATTTGGCGCTGGGAGTTCCTCTTCTTCATCTGCCATGCGGGGGACTGCATATGCTACAGATAGGGTGGTGCCCCCAGCCCTTGTGACGACTACTCCTGTGGCGCCGAGTATTACTCAGGACACCATTCGTCAATATGTCCATGAAGCTTTGAGAGATGTTCTTCCTACAGTTCTTACCTCCGCCTTCTCCACTGGTATGGTTCCTTCTTCTCCTTTATCTTGGCACCTTGATTCGGCTGCATTCAATCACATGACCAAATCATATCGCTCTTTCACTAGGTTACGACCCGCTCCGCCTGTTAATCTTCAAGTGGCCGATGGGGCTACTATTCCTATTCAGGGGGTGGGTACGGCAGTTAGTCCCGGTGTGGAGCTGCCTGACACTCTCTATGTGCCGCAGCTTGTCCCTAATTTGGTTTCAGTTGGTCAGTTGCTTGAAGATGGTTGCCGTATTGTTTTTGATCCTCATGGGTGTACTGTGCAGGACATGAGGACGGGGGTGGAGATAGGCCGCGGGAGTAAATGTGGCAGAGTCTTCTCTCTGGATCGGTACTCGAAGAAGGGACTGGATGCTTTGTCGGGTCTCCGAGACAGTGCGGATGCAGGGAGGGCATCTTTGGGGGAGGGGTTGAGTTTGGTTTCTGTTTCTGATAATTCTGGTTATTCTGTGAAACTTTCGGATTGGGATTTGTGGCATAGTCGGTTAGGCCACCCACATTCTAGTCGGCTTGCTGATATGTTTAAGAATAAATTGTTGAAGGGTTGCCATACTGTTTCTGATACTCGTCATCCATGTGTTCATTGTATTGAAGCCAAAATTTCTCAACGTTCATTTGGGTCGAGCTCTACTGTGTATAATGATCCGTTTGATTTAGTTCATACCGATCTGTGGGGTCCTTCTCCGGTTATTTCTCGTTTGGGGTTCCGTTACTTCGCATTGTTTATTGATCATACTACCCGCTTTACTTGGGTGTACTTTCTCCGTCAAAAATCCGACTTGCTTGGGGTTGCCCGGGATTTTCTGCAGATGGTTGAGACACAGTTTGGGAAGATGGTGAAGGTTGTGCGTTCAGATCCTGGGGGAGAGTTCTCCTCTAATCCATTACTCGAGCTATTCCGTGATCGGGGTATCCTACCGCAGCAGTCATGTCCTGGTGTATCGCAACAAAATGGGTTAGTGGAGAGGAAGCACCGGCATGCACTTGAACTTACCCGGGCTATCTTATTCGAGTTTCATGTAACTCCTCGATTCTGGGCCGAAGCTGTACACACTATTGTGTACTTGATCAACCGGCAAATCACCCCAGTACTCGATCAAAAGAGCCCATATCAAGCATTATATGGGAAACTTCCGGATTATACTCATCTACGGGTCTTCGGCTGTGTATGTTATGTCTTGTTGGCTCGTCGGGAACGAACAAAGCTCACTCCAAAGGCCGCCAAGTGCGTATTCCTGGGATACAGCGACAAACATAAGGGTTATGTTTGTTATGATGTTGCTGGCCAACAGATCCGAATTTCATGTCACGTGGTTTTCTTGGAAAATCAATTCTACTACTCTACTCCACCCCCTGCCAGTTCAGACTCTCTTAATAATTCCTTGGATTTTTTGATGGTGACATTTCCATCCCCAGGGGAGGGCTCGCCAATATTGGATTTGTCCACCACTCCCACAAACAGCTTCTCGGCCGACACTAACAGCTCCTCAGGTGGTGAGTTCTCTCCTCAATCTCCGTCCACGTCAGCCAACACTTCCTCCTCGTCCCAAGGAGACTCCTCACCGTCCACGTCGGCCAGCTCTTCCTCCTCGTCGGCATCATCATCCCAACTTAATTCATCCACTTCAGCTGGTGATTCTGGACCGTCCACAGGGTCTCCCACTTTTGATGAGGAGGTTGTTACTCCTCAGGTGCGTCGCTCCACGCGGGCCACTAAGGGAGTACCGCCAGCTTCACATAGTGACTTTCTTGCTTTTTTTACTTCACATGTTCAGGTTCCGGCTACGTACAAACAGGCATGTGGTGTGGAAGTATGGGACAATGCAATGAAGACAGAGATCCATGCACTGTTGGCAGCGCATACATGGGATCTTGTGCCTCGCCCTATCTCTCATCCTGTCATTGGGAATAAATGGGTCTACAACATCAAAATGTTTCCTGATGGTTCCATCGAACGTCATAAAGCTAGACTTGTGGCGCAAGGGTTTAAACAACAGTTTGGGATTGACTATGATCAGACATTTGCACCGGTTGCCAAAATGCAGACAGTTCGTTGTATTTTAGCAGTAGCAGCTATGAAGGGTTGGCGCTTACTGCAGTTAGACGTGAAGAATGCATTTCTACACGGAGATCTTCAGGAGACTATCTATATGGAACGACCGAAGGGATATACCGAGGGTATCCGTCAATGGTTTGTCGTCTTCGGCGTTCGCTCTACGGTCTCAAACAGGCACCCTGTGCCTGGTTTGAGAAGTTCCATGATACTGTTCTTCAGGCCGGCTTCACACAGAGTGATAATGATCCCTCATTGTTCTTGCGTTCCTCGTCTCGTGGACTTACTATTCTCTTGATTTATGTTGACAATATGATAGTAACTGGGGATGACACTCTTGGCATACGGGAACTCACGGGTATCCTTCGCATAGCTTTTAATCTTAAGGAGCTTGGTGACCTATCCTATTTTCTCGGTCCCGAGGTTTATCAGTCCTCGGCAGGTATTTTTGTTGGTCAAAAGAAATATATCTTGGATCTCTTGGAGACAGCGCAGATGGACGAATGTGATGCAGCAGTGACACCCATGGAGCAAAATCTCAAGCTGCGGCAGGATGATGGCGATCTTCTTCCAGATGGTGGCTCCCGGTATCGCAGCATTGTGGGTAGTCTTATTTACTTAACTCACACTCGTCCGGATATCTCTTATGTCGTTCAGGTGGTCATCCAATTTATGTCCGCTCCTCGTCATCCTCATTTTCTTGCCGTACAACGCATTCTACGGTATTTGCGCGGTACTCAGGATGTGGGACTAATCTTTCCGGCAGGTGGGGAGCCCATTATTGAAGCCTATGCTGATGCTGACTATGCCGGGTGTCTTGATACACGACGGTCTACCTCCGGTTGGTGCGTCAAGGTCGGTGGATCATTTGTTTCTTGGCGATGCAAGAAACAGGATCGTGTCTCCAAGTCTTCTACAGAGGCGGAGTACAGGTCGATGAGTGAGGTCACATCTGAAATAGTTTGGTTACATCGTTTGTTGACCGAGCTTGGTGTTCAGTGCCAGCTTCCTGCTCGTCTGTTTGCAGATAACACCAGTGCAATCAAGATCGCCACTAATCCAGTTCTGCATGACCGGACGAAGCACATTGAAGTTCATGTTCATTATATTCGGCAATTGGTGGCTGATGGTTCTGTGACATTATCATACATTACATCGGAGAATCAGACTGCGGATCTGTTGACGAAAGCTGTGTCATCTGCTCGTCATTGGTTTCTAGCACACAAATTGATGTTGCGACAGCACCATCAATTTGAGGGAGGGTGTTAGAAGCTTAAGGACCATTTTGTAATTAGTTGCATTTATGTGGAGTTAGTATGATAATTGTCCTTAACCTAGTTTAGGCAGCTCGTATATATTGATGTTAAGGGCTGCCGAGTCTTGTACAGAATTCTGGAGAATAAGATTTTATGTCTGGTGCCGTGGACTAGTCCTAACAATCAACTTAGGGAAACCACGTAAATCTCGTCTTGTGTTCTTATATTTCAGTTCTTGATCGTGTTTGACAGGGTTCTTGTTTGCCCCGCCTCCCCATTCTCAAATTGGAGATTGCTTGAACTTTAATGTCCATTCTCAAATCGGAGCATGAGCTTGATTGGCGGCATATCTTTGGATCTCGCGGCCACCGTCGATTTTCTCTCGCCGTCACTGCAAGGCGACGATCTCGAGACTGATTTGAGGAGAATCCCTGGATTGAAAACCATCCACCACCGCCGCGCCTTTGCCGATTCGTCTGCCAAACCACAACCGGAAAAGAGGGAGGAGAGGGCGGATGCCGATGGATTCATAGAGAGGAGGGTGGGATATCTTATTGTCGATGAGGCCATACTTGTCGATGCCGGAGAAGAGATGGTATCGGAGGTGATAAGTATGGGGGAGGAAGGGCACGTTCGTGGAGGGGTTTGATTTTTTTTTATTTAATTTAATTTTCTTAACATAGTTGAAAAGCAAATAAAAATAAAAATTAAATTGTGTGACTCAGCAATTTATTTTCGCGTAAGATTCAACTAACGATTGACCGGATGGAAAATTAACAGTTTGTCTAATAAATTGGTTTTGAAAAGTTTTGAATATTATTTTGTTTGAAACGAAAAGGTTTTGCTAATAAATTGTATTTACCCTACTTTTAACTCCTTTTTCCCCTATGTCTTTTTTCATAGAGAGACATACGCCAATATGCTATTGGTCTCATTTTCATTTTCTTTTACCTTTTAAACTCATTCTCTTTCTATTTCATCCATCTCCTTATTGATAGTTTAGGATTCTCTATTAATAAAGAGTAGTTTTTTTTTTTTAATTCTATCGAACTTTAAGTTCATTATTTATAGAGGGACATATGACAATATTTATTGGTTTCATTTTCATTTCCCTCTACTTTTGAAGGACAACGTTTTATGGTTTCATTTTCATTTCCAATTTGACGGACAAAACACACGTCCGGCTAATTGAGTCTATATTGTGTATAGTTGAGGCAAGAATAGCAATATGTAAAACTACCGACCAAAGTTGATTATTTGGATATAATTTGGCCCAAAATAAAGTATTAACCCTTATTTCATTATTTCATTGGCACAACAGGTTATCAATAACCAAAATAAATAGTATATTAATTTAATCAATTGATCTAACGAGGAGATGGGCTAATTTTTTTTTGTTAGAGTGATATTAAGTTGCAGAGTAGTCTCTTGTTAGTGAGTTTATTGGTTGGTTGTGTTAGAAACCGAACAGAAAATTTAGGGTTACCGAATCTAGCTGAGTCGCGGACTAGGTCGCTCTCTTTAAGGCGTTCGCGTCACTGCCTCGTATTGTGCACAGCAAACTATCAGTCGGTCGCCTCCAGGATAAAACAACCATTCTGATTTGTTACTCATTGGTTTTGTGCGAAAACCGGAGCTCTATGAACTCACTCTCTCTCGCTCTCTCTCTCTCTCTCTCTCTCTCTCGTGTTTATTCTCTCTCTACTTTTTTTAGGGTTAGGCAACTCAGCTATTTATATAGGATGAGACCTTCAGCCTTCCTCTCTTGGTGGAGGATTTGAGAATCTTCTTAAGGAAGGAAATCAAGAGTAATAACTCCTTATTAGACCTTTCTTTAATGCAGACAATTAACCCGATTGATAAAAGTTTCCTTTAATATCAGAAATCAATCCGATTGATTGAAACTTTTCGTTAGTATGGGCAATTGATTTGATCATGAAAGATTCCTTCAATATGAAAAATCAATCCAATTGATTGAACTTTCCGTTAATTCGGTCAATTAGTTCTTATTGAAGAAACGTTTCCTTCAATACGGAGAATTAATCCGAATTAACTTCACTTACCTTTTTCAAGGACTTTCCTTTAGTTTTTTTTTCAAACTATTCACATTTCTCAACAACCCCCCACTTGAATAGTTTTGAAACTATCTCTAAGCAACAGTTCCATAAGATCGGGCATAAGCTAAGGTATCGCGAAGATGTGAACCTTAGCGTAGTGGTTACACTTCCGATTTCATAAGGGTGACTCGTAGACCGTAGTCTTGAACCCTATCTCAGACAGTGTAGCACACCAGATCTTTTTCATTGAGTTGTGTTCTCTTCTTAGCCCGTGAGTTTATGGCCATGCACGTTATACTGGTTTAGTGAACGCTCTAGCAACTTTGTGCCTCCAAAGTTCCATAGGGAGCGACCCCACTCCCACATTCACATAGGTGAGTCTATCAGAAGTACCCCCAAAGTAAAATATTTCACTCCACATAGAGTATAGATCTCATTAAGAGTTTAACTCAACCTCCAATGCTTTGGGATTCATGCTTCATTATGCATGAACTTTTCTCAATATTACTCATGACTTGTTATTACCCATTGAACCCGTTTCTTGGGATCTCCAGTCTATCGGGTCGCGTTACCATCACTTGTAATCCATGGTTCGGTAGGCATAAGTCTCATACCCTTCGTGGTATTTTGGACTTTTCTCGCTAGGTAACCCTTTCGTCAAAGGATCAGCTAGATTCTGTTATAATCTCAAGTTCATCCTTTCGTCAAAGGATAAACTAGATTCTCTTTTAAAGTGATCCACCCTTACTACTCCAATAGTTAATGACTCTCTCTTCCAGTACTGTTCTTATGACGAACTTGTCGCCTCTCACCGTTTGTTACGGTTCTATTTAGCAATTGCTATCGCAATGGATCAATACCGGCGGATACGGTCTTTCCCATAAGGGAATCTCTAGTAATGACCCTCTCAATCAACTTTCTTCTTTACTAGCCATTGCTAGTTCTATCATTTCTGATTCCATAGTTGATTGGGCCATGATCGTTTATAGGGTATTCTAGTCCGCATCACTATACCCTACAAATACAACAAAACCTTTGATAACAAATACCAAGGGTTTTATGTTCTTTTAAGGTGTCTCATGAACCCTTTCAATAGCATTCCAATGCTTCATACTAGGACAATCAGTAAACCTGCTAAGTACCCCCACTAAATCGGGTCTCATGTTTATCAGCTGCCTCACGCAGACTGTTGATGCTAGTATATTCTAACTTTCTTAGTTTCTTACACCGTTTCCAGTGTTATTTAATATTTACACTATCATCATAAACCATTTATGCAAGCATACAACTTGTATTTCTTCTAGATCTTAACTATGTAGTTAAACTGATCTAGAGGAAATCTATTTCATTGTCATAGTTACCTGGATCTCTTAGCTTACACAAGCTTCATCCAGATCATTCAAAATTCTCAAACATGGTTTTTCACATCATTGATATCGTGAGAGAGAACCAGTTTATTCATGCCATCATCTTAGAGTCTGTTTCAAATCTTACAATGATTTGTCTAACTATAGACTCCATAAGCATGTTCAGGAATAACAACCCTATAAGTTGTCCCATGTAGACTTCCCTATCTAAATCACCATTCATAAAATAGTTTTAACATTCATCTCATACGTGAAAGTTATTCTACATATTGGTGAATAGATATCTATAATGTTTCCTCTTCACCTAAAGACTTAGCTACTAGGCGATCATTATACTCATAAACTAAACCATCAGGTTTTAGTTTTTCTTTTGGGAATCCATTTATTACCTTCGACTTCATTGCCAAGAGGTAATTCTCATAGATGCCAAATCTTGTTCGATTCTATCGATATATTACCCAAGGCTTTACAACTAGGGGTGTTCAAATGGTTACCATGGTTATAACCAAACCAAATAAGGCTAAATTCCATTAACCATGGAATACAATATCATAACCAAACCGTCCAAACTAATACAACAACCAAATTAACCAAACTAAAGTTTAATCAGTTTGGTTATTTGCTTAACCAGATTAATCAATATAAAATCATATTATCATTGACGATGAAATTTTTTTCTGGTAATGCAACAATTCGTAATTTATATAATGAATAAAACATAACAATCAACACGTAGTTATAGTTGACCCTTAACAAAAATACATACAACTAAGACAATGATCTTACGATTAGTATAGAAGTATTCACCTAACAAAAATTTATGACAATGGTATGAGTTAAAGAATTGTTGTGTTTGTGTAAATTGACTTAGTCTCTTAGCAATTATCATAGGCCGGAAATGACCTTCTTTTCAAGTTTTCATCCATCATAATGTATGAAATTTATCTAAATTAGGAATTCATATGTTGTGGTCTACACTTTACATATACAAATATACACTATATGAGCAATATTGAGCTTTATATTTTATGAGTCTAAAAGGGATGAACGTTAACTCTTGAGTGGTTATGCACAGTATTAAGTATGTGTATATAATATATGTTAGATATATGACTAATTACTTAACTGGTTAATTTGGTTTGACTGGTTAGGAGTGTCTGAAACCAAACCAAACCACCTAAACCAAACAAGCTAAAAACTTTAACCAAACCAAACCAATTATCCAAATTAACCAAACCAAATTATCCAAATAGTACCGGTTAAAACGGTTACCACGGTAACCAAACCGTTTGAACACCCCTATTTACAACCAAGAGGTAACTCTACAAGATTTTAAGTCTTATTAGACTCCAATAATTCCATTTCGTTAATTTATGGATTCTCTCACAATTCTGCAACTTTATGGAAGTTCGAACTTATAGCAGACTTGTAGGATCTTTCTTTCTTACCATGTAAATAACAAATTCATAACCAAAATCTTTTCGTGATTTATGGTTCATTTGTCTCGTCTGAGTTCATACCCAGATTCATCACCCCCACTAGTTATCCATTATTTCTAATAGTAGGCAGGATATCACCCCCACTATTTCTTAATATAAATGGAATCTATTGGTATCAATGGATTTCACAAACTAATGAGTATTTTATTTTATAGGCTTATGTGTTTTACTATAGCATATCCAATAAACATATAATCATATGATTACTTGTAATCATATAGCACTGATTCTCAAATTCTTCTACCAGCCAACCAAATAATCAGAGCAATTAATAATAATGCGATAAAGCATTTCAAGCCATTCCAAATAATCATTTCATCACGTTTACCCATATTTAATGTGTCAGATCAAAGATTATGATTCTCTAATCACATATTTATGGGTCTATTAGCTTAGCTATGTAAATCATATTTATCACAACCATTATGAGAATGTGACCCTAGCTATTCAATTCCTCAAGATATACGTCAAAGACGTGCATGCAAGAACCAGAAGAATTCAACATTTTAAATTTATCATCATATGCATACTCTCATGACTATGATCAATAGTGGAGTGAGCAATACTCAACAACACTTTCTTAATAGCATATGTCTTAGTATGCTTCGAGATACCAATATTTAGCCACCATTCTTCAGAGTTACCAGCATGGTTAATCTCTGCTCTTTTGTCAATCATCACAGCCACCAATCCTACTTTTCAATCAAGTTAACACTAGAACCAGTGTTATACTTGTTTCTACACTTTCGTGTCATATGACCTAATTTCTCGCAACTATTGCAGAGAAACAAAGCATCATTCTTAGAGGATTGGACGATGATCCTTTAGTTACCATGAATGGTTCCATTTTAATTGGTGTGAATCTGATTCGGTTTGCTATCCTGATTCTTGAACCTTATTAGGGTTTAGAAACGTACAAATGGTTCTCGTAGTACTGACAAACAGTACTAAATAAATATGGGCATATAACCCATTCCACTAGCATATTTAATACATAATATACATTCATATAAGCTTCAGAGTATGCATTCATATAATCGAAATTACTCTCCAAGAAGTGTGTATGAAGTTCTAATCATCGAGTTAACAAATCTCAATGTTAACATGCATCAATTCTAGATTTCATACTAGCATTCATAACCTTTCCCAACTCCATGCACAAACTCATATGAAATTGATTCTAATTTTGTCATTCATAAATAACTCATAAGTAAGGTTTCAGCTCTTACCTCTTTTCAAGAAGTCATTATATTCTGAATTAGTAGCGAATAGCTAGCGCCACGCACAACTTCCTTATTTCTTGATAAATTTTATAGCAGAGGGAAGCTTTGACAATTGTTTATTTGAAGACCTTGTTCTCCTCGTCCTCATCGTGCTCCGCTCCACAGCGCCTTCGATGTTAGCACATAACATCGTGCGCCCTGGTAGTCGATCATGACTTCCAGTTCAACCGGCGCATACAAATTCCTGGCGACGTGCACAGCTGCTGTGGTGCCAACATTAGTGGACAGCAAGGTTCGTTTAAACCAAAATATTTCCAGGCCCAAGAATTGAAAAGGCCTGCTAACTTCACACAAAAAGGACAAGCTTGTCCATTCTTCCTCATTCTGGTGGGACTTGGACAATTAGTTAGCTGTGGCTTTCTTTCATTTACTTGGCCCGAGATTGAATTTCCTTGTCCCAATCAATCGCGCAAACCACGTTTCCCCAACTGGCTTCCGTTGCAGTGGGCCCTAGGCTGGATCCGGAAATCAAAACGATCTAGGGTTGTCTCCTTCCCAGTGATAGTTCACCCACATCCGCCAGGAAGCTGCAACCCCTCCATCGGCTTCTGATATGTCCGATTGTGATGGGATCACGCAAGGCGGCCATTTTTCTAGGGCTCGCCTTTGCTTCCAAGCAATTTTCGGTATGACCAAATAGAAGCTACCGAGTCTCTAGGATCTTCACATAGGGCAATGTGACAGCGAAGAAAAGGACGGCTTCCACGGTTGTGGGATCAAGCTCCACCGAAATATATTCGACGGCTGACGGACTAAGATCTCTCCGATCTCATTGCAATCTCTGATTTCCGTCAGTAATTCCCGTGTTCTTGTTCGTGATTAACCCCCACAGCACAGCGGCAGTTTTTGAGGTGTGTCTGTTTATCTCGCCGCGAGAAGGAAAAGAAGCTGGGGGAGTTCTGCTCATGAATCCACGATCTCGCGATCCAGAATCGGCACTCTGTTCGGTACACGGAAGCAACCAAACGTCTTAAAATTGTTAGAAACCGAATAGAAAATTTAGGGTTACCGAATCTGGCTGAGTCGCGGACTAGGTCGCTCTCTTTAAGACGTTCGCGACACAGCTTCGTATTGCACACAACAGACTATCAGCCAGTCGCCTCCAGGATAAAACAACCATTCTGATTTGTTACTCATCGGTTTTGTGCGAAAACCGGAGCTCTATGAACTCACTCTCTCTCTCTCTCTCTCTACTTTTTTTTAGGGTTAGGCATCTCATCTATTTATATAGGATGAGACCTTCAGCCTTTCCCTCTTGGTGGAGGATTTGAGAATCTTAATAAGGAAGGAAATCAAGAGTAATAAACTCCTGATTAGACCTTTCTTTTATGCAAACAATTAACCCGATTGATAAAAGTTTCCTTTAATATTAGAAATCAATCTGATTGATTGAAACTTTCCGTTAGCATGGGCAATTGATCTGATCATGAAAGATTCCTTCAATATGGAAAATCAATCCAATTGATTGAACTTTCCGTTAATTCGGTCAATTAATTCTGATTGAAGAAACGTTTCCTTCAATACGGAGAATTAATCCGAATTAACTTCACTTACCTTTTTCAAGGACTTTCATTTAATTTTTTTTTCAAACTATTCACATTTCTCAACAGGCTGTTTGCCTGTCTTAACACGTGCGTCAAAGCTATTCAAATATGTTGACTGTTCTGTTTGTTGTTCTTTTTCTTCTAATATAATTTTCTTTCTAGTTTCTCCAAAAAAAAGGGTAAATACAATTTAATATCCAAACCTTTCATTTTAAACAATATAATAGCCAAACCTTTTCGAAAACAATCTAATATCTAAATCGTCAACTTTCCGTTCGTTTGACCGTTAGTTGACACTTCAAAAAAGCTTTGTTTAGAGAAAATTGTCACAATACAACTTTGTTTCTTGTTTTGGCATTGCAGATGACTGAATATTTAGATATTCTATACCATCACGGTGGATTCATGGATTTCTTGGGTTTGGAACTACGATATGTTGGTGGTTTTCCAGAGAAGATATCGATGGATATTGATGAAGTGTCGTACTTCGAACTTTTTTGAAGTGTCAACTAACGGTTAAACAGACAGAAAGTTGACGATTTGGATATTAGATTGTTTTCGAAAAGGTTTGACTATTATATTGTTTAAAATAAAAGGTTTGGATATTAAATTGTATTTATAAAAAAAAAATTAGTTTTCTTTTTTGGCTATGGCTAACTGGTGCGTGAGGTTCTGACAAGTTGGTTCAGTCAATTAGCAGACAGCGAATTCCAATATGAGAAAACACTTATGAGACCCCTTGGTGAGTTGGTGTTGTTTGTTTGTGGTTTCCATTTTGTCCTCCAAGTCTAAGTGGGGACTCATGAGCCTGCCAGCAGAAGCCCATTAACCACCAATAATTTGTTAGTTATTCAGAAACTGAACAAAAGAAAACGTTTCTTTCACCAAAAACCACAAACATGTCAATGGCTATAGTGATAATTGTTTTGATGAATTTATGACTATATGATGTAGAAACACGATAAACATATGAACATAAACTGTTTGCAGCCCAACATTTAGGATAGTTTTCTTTCAAGCAATAGACTTGAATTCAACTCCCGACGGAAGTAATCCTGTCGTGCTTGAAAATTATACTGTCCCAAAATGGTATTTTTTGCTGATTGCGTGTTCGTGAAAGGTAGAAGTAGTCAACAACTAATGTTTCTTGGTCCTCTGGGTCAAATTAAGAAAAATTCCACTACCAACCCAGATTGATTTTTGACCATTTTGGCAAAGCAGTTTTGGGAAACCCAATCACACGTGTCTGGTGCTATTACTTTCCTCCCCTTTGTTGGGTCAATTCGGGACATCAGCAATCACCGATGACATAAAAAAGAAACTCCATCCAATAGACTTACTTCACCCTCGTACATGGGATGGGAAGGAAGAAGAACATTCACCATTTACGGAGCTTCAGCTTCTAGATTCACTGCTCTCAACTCAATTTCAAACACGTGCAGACCCCTCTTTTATCTTCTTGCCTTTTTCCTAATTGGCTCACTGCTCATTTTCCTCGATGTTACTGCCACATATGATCGCCAGAATTTTTTTTTTATAATGGTGAAAATAGGATGATCGCCAGATTTGCTAGGCCATTTTGATCAAGAGGCATGCGAGAACTAACTATACGTTACTACATAGTGTTGCTCAATTAGTTGGGTTTGCGATCTTTGATCTACACTAATTTTTGTTCAAAAAATGTTAGATTTCGTCGGATATGAATGTTTAGTGAGTAAAGTGAAAATATTTGTTTCAATTCGATTTAGTGATCAAATGAAACAAAATTATTTGAATTTAAAAGTAAAATCGTATAGAATATGCTCGAATTGGCTTTATATATCAGTGATCATAATTTTGCGGTTATGACAATATATCTTGTCGTTGCCAAAATTAATGCACCGATCAAACCCTTATTCGAAATATCATATGTACAATCAAAAAGTTCAAAACTGAAAGAGATCACTGCCAAAATTGATTACAAAAGAGAGAAAGGAAATTCCAATGAAGAGTGATCTTGTATGCTAATTGCTATTGAATCCTTAACACAACAATATGTATGAAACTCGATATAAGGAATCAACAAGCTCTAAGCAAGCTATTCAAATAACCCTCTCCTCCCCTGTCACGCGACTCCCCTGTTCCGCCTCCGCCAGACGTCTCCTCCGATTGCGACTCGACAGCGGCGCCGGAGCTATAACTCAGTTCCGGCATCCCATCCTTGATGATGTTACCACCATCATTGTTACTATTACTTCCAGCCGCCGTCGCCTCCGCCCTGGATATCTTCCCGGGATGATTCATCAGCCTATGTAGCGGCTCAGCCGCCGCAGCCAGCTCCGGCGGGAAATTGAGCACGGCCTTGGTCCCCCGCATCCGGAAAGCAGCTCGATCGTAGGCCAGCGCAGCTTCTTCGGCTGTATCGAACGTGCCGAGCCACACCCTGGCGCCGTGTCGGGACGAGTCGCGGATCTCAGCGGCGTATTTCCCCCATGGGCGGCGCCGGACCCCTCTGTAGTGACGCTTGGATATAACCCGACTGTTGCCGGAAGTGTGGAGATGATGAAGGAGCGGGTTGGAATTCGGTTGGTGGGTCGGATACGAATTGCTGCTGGCTTCACTCATCATCTGGTATATCACCATGTCCTGTGAATCGTTCTCGCTGAAAGGCAGCTCGTTCTGCTGCGCCATGGCTGAATGATAAAAACAGAGGACTTTTGTTATTGTGGGGAAGGAAAGCCGACGAATTTTGGTATTTAAGCGCTCGTGTTGAGTTTACTAGAACAAAAGGGGATTGTGGGATTGGGAATTTTCTTTGAATGATTGATTTGTTTTATGGGACTTTATGATTGTTTTGGGTTGAGGGAAGGAAGGAGGAAATTCAGGGAAAACAGGGGAGAGGAGAACAAAGGGGTTTTGGTTTCTTTCTTATAGTGGTTCTTTCTTCTTATATTAGGGTTGGTGGGTTCTGGCCAGTCTTATTTTTACAGAAACCTATGAAACTTTTTGACTCACTAGTCACTAGTAAAGCCACCATTGGAGTCGATTTTATACAATGGGACGAGGGGTGTACGTTGTATTGCTAACATACTGCTGTATATGCTAGAATTCAAGTCAGGTTATGTTTTGAAATTTTCTTCCATATTATTACTTTCCATGTCTGATTGATAGAATTTGGGAAATCTACCCAATAAATAAAAGTAGGAAGAACATTTTGGTCTTCACAATTACTTTTCTTTTATTCATTAAAAAGACACTTACCAGGATTCGAACCATGACCATTTTAAAGAAAAGCAAAGACCATAACCAATCACAATAAGGGCATCTATTGTATCTTTTTAAATTAAAAACATATAATCGCAGAGAGGAAAATATCATTCCCTCATTTCAAATTCCCTACTCCAGGAGCGTTTGTAGGAAGGGTAGAATAGGGAGTTTCAATTTTTTTCTTTTTCCTCTGTGGAACGGGCCAACTTACCGTACACATGCGGATTTAAAGTCCTTTTATTTCTCCGTGGTGGTAAAATATATATGAAAAGGCAAAAACAATACTCCTTTTTATTGCTAAAAAGGAAAAAAATATAACAATAAACTAATGCATGGATTCTAATGGGCTAACCGCTAATCATAAAATAAAAGAGTTGAATGAGCCTAACCTACACGCGATTTGCCATCAAGTAAAACGAATGAACACAATGGGTTTGCCATTCTAAAACAAGCTATTTTCTTTAGCATAATATATATTATGCTATTATTTTATATCTTAGTGGCTAAAATATAATTTATTTTAAATTTATTTAATGGTTCAACCTCGACCAACCCAATTCGTCCAATTTTTATCATTTGAAATATAAATTATGGAATTATTTGATATCATAATGATTAAATTATAGTGTATATTATAGGGAATAGTTTGGTATTTGTTAGTAAAAAACTAAACAGAAAGGTCTATTTGGTTATTTTAACATTAAAACGATCCTAAACATTTTCAGTTTCCTTTCGAAATTCTATAGTTTTATTCCCAAATCAGTGATGTGCAAATGGCGAATTGCAGTCATCTCTTTTATTTCATTATTTTTTATTTTCAAATAGAAAGTTTAAAAGTAAAGAATAATTAGAGTTTGGCATGGGTCGGTCAAACAGACTGAATTTAAAGTTTTGGCCCGTTTTGATCAAGTATAATTTATAATCACATGGTTCTCTGATACCCGATAAAAATCTCAATCCAAACCAGTTTGGCAGGTGATTCCGTGTTTACCACCAATTTCTAGGGATACAGCAACGGTGGTTCCTATCCCAAATCGTGTTGTTCATTGTTGATTTCTTTAGATTTTATCATGGCTTGGCAAAAAACCAGAAAGCACAATGATGACACGATGAAAATTTTATAAAGCAAATTAATCGGCGGGCCGAGTAAATGATAGCAACGATTGTGAGATGCTCATTTCCGGAAAACCGGCGGGATAAGCGATTTTTTATTTGATTTTCTGGAATTCGATTTCTATAAAACTTACTCAACCTCATCATATTACCATAAACAATATTGTTTCACAAGATAACAGGTACTTGATTTTGGTTCATAAGGCTGATTTTTGATTCGTTGCATCATTCATGTCTCTTTCCTACTAAAATGCACTATTTTTATCACGTGTTTCCCAAAAAAAACTATACAACAATAAGCTATACACCCCATTACATTATCAAATTTCGTACCTCATCTTCCACCGGCCAAATGGTCGGGCCCCACGCTAGTAACATTATAACTAAGAAAGGGTTTCCCATATTTCAGTTTTGTGATAGAAAACTTGTCTAAAGGTAGTCACGGGCTCGCCCCATTGTCTGGTTTTATTTTGCTATGTAATAAATAAGGATAGCAACTATTTTAATTCTCGGTGGTAAGAGGTTTCCCATCTTTTTTTCGCAGATGATTCTTTCCTATTCCTTCGAGCTTCGCAAAGGGATGCTTCTTTCCTTCTCCAGGTTCTGCGAGATTATAAAAGTATCAGTGGTCAGAGAGTTAATCTCCAAAAATCTGTTGTGTACTGCAGTCCTAATATGCTACAGTAAGAATGGGAAGAGTTGGGTTCTTTTCTTGGAGTTGGGTCTACTGGTCTTCAAGATAGATACTTAGGTTTGCCCTCTCTTTTAGGGAGATCGAAGATGGAGACTTTCGTTTTGTGGAAGAAAAATTGTTGTATGTTCTTCAAGGTTGGAAACAGCGAAGTCTGTCTACTGCCTCCAAAGAGGTTCTCATCAAGTCTGTAGCAGCTGCCCTACCTATTTATTTAATGTCATATTTACGGCTACCAACAGAGTTGATACGGCGACTGAATGCTCACTTGGCTCATTTTTTGTGGGAAGCAACTCAGGAACAAAGGCGGATTCATTGGCGATCTTGGAAACTCCTATGCTCGAGTAAGCAAGCTGGTGGTTTGGGATTCAGTGAGTTTGGTCAGTTCAACCAAGCCCTTCTAGCTAAGTTTGCTTGGCGTGTTCTTTCGGATCCCACTTCTCTTTTGGCTCGCATCTATATGGATCATTACTTCAGTCATCATCGATTCTTGAAGCATCTCTAGGTTACAATCCATCGTGGGGCCGTCGAAGTGTTATGTTTGGCAGAGACTTGCTTGCTCAGGGACTTCGTTGGCAGGTTGGCGATGGCTTCACTATTCGAGCTCTATTGGATCCATGGCTACCTACCACTCCCCCATCCACTCCAAAACCCAGACCAGGTGCTCTTGCTGCTTTTGCCTTCGTTTTTGCTTTTATTGATCCAAGAACCAAGCTTTGGAATGCAAGCATGCTCAATTTATACTTTGATGAAGCTACTGTCCGTTTGATACAAGGGATTCCTCTCCCACAGTAATGGATCGGAGATAAGCTGGTCTGGCATTTTGAATCCTCTGGAATTTTTTCAGTTAAATCTGCATATCTATACCTATCTTCATTGCAGCTTGTTTCTACCACTAATAAACATCAAGTTTTATTTATGGATCGAATGTTATGGCAATGGGTTTGGAATAGGAAAGTGCCACCTAAGTTGATTTTCTCTTTGTGGCAAGGATTACATCATATTCTTCAAACTAAGGAGGCATTGGCAATTCGAGGTATGGATTTAATACCCATTTTCCCGGTTCTATTAGGGCTGAGAAACGGTGCGGTCTGATCCAGACCAGACCATATATACGGTCTATGGTCCAGACTGAGAGTAGGGGTGTTCAAATGGTTATCGTGGTAATAACCAAACCAATTAAGCCTAAAGTTCATTAACCATGGAATAAAATGTCTTAACCAAACAGTCCAAATTAACACGAAAACCAAATTAACCAAACCAAAGTTTAATTGGTTTGGTTAATCGGATAATCGGATTAACCAAATAACATAACATTACATGAAAACAATTATCATGTTAATGAATAAAACATAACCATATGTTATGACTGTCATAAACTATCATTATATATAAGCAATAATAATAAGACTATCCATCCATGATAATTATCATCATTCGAGTTTATACATCATTTATCATCTCTGTACCTAATATAGTTAGCTTACAACAACCTTAACATAAATATTAAATACATACCAATACCACTCATCAGGAAGTTAAAGCTCTCTTACAAAACACTTAAACTATACATAGTTTGACGTGGTTGTCATGGTATTGTACGTAATCCTAAAGTCTAGTAGATGTCCAAAATATTTTGGTTTAGTAAATAGGCAGGCCCATTTAATTTCCCCCCCCCCCCCCCACCCATAATGCTCTGGTTTTATGTGCACATGGAAATAAAATAGGGAATCACGAAAGTTTGGTTGGTTTCATGAACTATAAATAATTTTGTATATTAGGTGTATCATTAATTGGTTTCATTGGTTAGCAGTGTTGAAACCAAACCAAACCACCTAGACCACAGACTAGATGGTCCGGTCCAGACCACGCCTGTGCGGTCTGGTTCGGTCTGGTCCAGATAGACCACACTTAACGAAAAATGAACAATTTCTTTAGTCAACCCCACAAAAAATTGAACCAATAATCAAGAAAAATAATTTTTATTTTCCTTAAAACAGTAATCCTAACATGCATGAATAAATTTGATACCCTAAATCTTAGTACATAACAAAGATATCAAGTAAAAGCATCCCAACTTGCACCATAACGTTATAAACATTAACTTCATGTCATATGGAGACACGATTATCTCTACTCTCTGGTTAAGTGTGGTTCTGAATGAAGGAGGGGCGAGATTCACAAAATTAAGGCTGAGACTTGGGTATCGTTGCGGGAGTTGGGAGAGTGGTCGAATGGGCTGTTAACACGTATTGACAAGTCGGTTGGGTCCACGTTTTGGTCCGGTAAACCGCGGTCTAAACCAGACCAGACCAAGAGATCAAAACATAAAATAATATAGACCATTGACCAGACCAGACCATACTTAACAGCCTACGGTCCGGACCAAACGGTGCGGTACAATTTCAACCACGATTTTTCTAACGGTGTGGTCTATTTTCCCAGTCCTAAATCCTATGTATTTTGTCAAACTGTAAACGTATAAGGGATAATCAAAGACATTGATTAAGTTGAGACGAATTTCACTTTGGCCTAATGTGAGTGACTCTGGAAATGTTTTTAATCACATTATTTATCGTGAGACAAAGTATAGTAATTCTAATATAAAAGTTTTCTTTGATGAAATTAAACGTGTAACCTGGCATGATTGGAATATCTTTGCATGTTGGGAGACCAATTTATTTGCAATTGCCATGTAATCTCCCAAATCGACTTACGTGCTCAGAAGGTTTTAGTTCAAGTGCCTTGGTAATAATTTTTCAGTAAGCTTAATAGATGTCAATAAACCTGAATACTGAATTCGATGGCCAACAACATTTTCTTACATAGATGATTGGAAATTAAAGATTTTGGTTATATGCATCCAATTGAAGTAAATTGAATTATTTATCGTTAGACAAAGTATAGTAACTCCAATCTGAAAGAGTTTTTCATCGATGAAATTAAACATGTAACCTGGTAGGGTTGGAATATCGTCACATGCTGGGAGACCAATTTA